GTAGGGCTCTTACCACCCCATGTTTCAACCAAGCCAAGGCTAGGTCTTCATAGCTCACTGCCCATAGGAGCCAACTGTAGAGAGAAGCCTTCCTGCCAGCCTGGTCCCAGAGCTGCATCAGTCCCAAATAAACACACAGGAGGCTATATTAATTATGAAGCTGTTGGTCTTGCTTGCTTTTTACTGGCTAGCTCTGACTTAAGTATTTACTCCATAATTGTTAATCTAAGTATTTCTCTTACCGGAGAAAAGGGTCCGGACTTCTTACCCCTATGCAGCTACATGGTGACTCCCTGTGTTTCTCCTTCCCAGAGTCCTGCTCGACTCCTAGTCCCACCTATCTTGCTTCCCTATGGGCCAGCAGTGCTTTATTCAACAACCAATAAGAGATAGATTTACAGAATGGCATCTCCCATCAGCCAACAATAATGATAAGAGAATGGGATGCGGGGGGGACTCTTAAAACATCACCTTAATAGTCCAACTGATATCTTTTAAGCCCCATAAATGACATGAGTGAGTTATATTCATAGCCTCAGTCCCTCCCTCCTCACCAGGCTGCAATGACCTTCATTCCTCCAAATTAGCAAGCTGTTAACCATGGACAGATGAGAATAAGACATTGTGTGTGGTCACAGCTTCACCTGAAGGCTTCCAGGAACCAAGCAGTGCCATTGGGGACATAGATGGCGAGGAGACCCATGGAGCATATGCAGGGGTCCAGCATCGCAGGTTATCTGGTTTTGCTTGTTAGGTTCCTTCCTAAACTAATGGCTGCAACAGTTCTCCTATTACATTAGATGTCAGAGAACTTTGATACATCGCACACGACCATGGCTGCATATTTAATTATTTTGCTTCTTTTTTTTTTTTTTTTTTTGATTCTCAGTTCAGACATTGAGAAAGATGGTTTATTGTACAGGAGTTATACTTGGCCACAGTTGAAAACAGAATAGCCCAGAATATCACAGGTCTAGGGCAGAGAGCCAGCAGGACTGTTTTGGTTGTAACGGAGGCGGGCAAGTCTCCCGGGTGGTCTCTGCGAGCAGATGGTGGTGAGGTTCCGGGTCCGCTGAGACTTACACCGACAGGGGCACACAGTCCAACCACTTGCACCAGTGTCCCAGCCTTCAGCATCCCTTACTTTTGCCCATTCAGCCTTCGTTGGTAGACAATTGAGTTTCCCCAGACCTCTGCCTTATCTTTCTTCTCTTGGGACTTCAGTCTGAGCGTTTGCTTCTTCTTTGACTTAGCTCGCATGCGCAGGAATTTCAAGGAAAATGGCGCCGAGGCTGAGAGCTGGTTTAATTCCATCCGCCCCCCCGCCAAAAGGTTTCTTTGTAGCCTACAGCGTGGATCCAAGGACCAAAACTACAGGATTTGCATTGAGAAGCTGCGCACGAATGAAGAAAGTAACTGTCTCCGAGCAGCCTGGATGGAGATGAACTGAACACTATGATAAGCGAACTATTACTACAAAGAAAATGTCTCGAGTGTCTGAAAAAAAAAAACAATCAAGCTGGAACTAACCCTTCAGAAAGGCTTGGGGAACGGCCACACATTTAGAGACGGAACAAGCAGCATGGTTCGTGTAGCTAAAGGAAGATGGCCGACTGCAAACTAAAGGCAGAATTGAAATGCATCTGAAGACGAGATAAATAAAAAACGCCATGCATGCAGGTGACTGAATTCTGCAACTACTAACCCAGTTGAGTCAACGCGCCTTCTCTTTGGAGGAAAAGCTACATAGGTCCTTAGTGTTGGCTCGGCTGTGTTCAGCCCCAGTGCCAGCTAGGTAGAAATGAAAAATGTATTTGTTTAAGTACTGTAAATTGGCAGGGAAAAATTGGGGATGGGACTGGTAACCTGACAAGAGAGAATGAATGGGGACCAGGGAGAAGGTACTGGAACTCGAGCAGGGCCATTTGTCATGTCACTTCATTGTCTCCATATGGAGCCATTAAAAGAGAACAACACTGGGACGCTGAATTAAGCCAGAGCGGGCGGTCGAGCTGCAAAGAGGATTTTTGATGGTGGAGAGAGGTATGCCGAAATTGCCTCTCAGCCTGCTTTATGCTACATCAATGAGTTTTTTGTTTGCTTGTTTGTTTGTTTGTTTGACAGAACCTAAGAACCTAGGAGCTTTACCAGAATGGCCACTAACTCTGGACGTCTTTCCTGGGCCACTCTGCTCCCTCGTCAGGACTCAGCTTTCCCATCGGCTGTCGCCCTGCAAAAACATATCGAGATAAAACTTTAAAGACAGAGACAACCACACAAAGGTGTCTTATTCTCCTTAGACTCAGAGACAACGATCCGAGACACATCCGGGGGCAGAAAGGGCAGTTTGCCTGAGTGTGTGCATGAAAGCTATTGGGAATAACACGAGACCATGTCTTCTAAACGCTGAAATGACGGTGGGGTCTTAACACCATTATAGAGTATTGTTGGTAAAGGAACAGACCCACCCGTACAGTACCTTGAATCCACACCATTTCAAAGCCTCCTCCAGAATGTCCAAACCAGCCACTCAGAGGGAACACGTCTCCGGCCTTATGAGGCCTCAGGTTGACCTGTCAGCCGCAAATAAGCCCAAATAAGCCACCTGACTTTTCTCTCTGACATCACTGCCTTCTTAACTGAATTGATCCACAGTCTCCTGTTTACAGGAAGGCGCCAAAGCCAGTCCTGCGGTTCCGATGGCCTCTAAAACCCTCCCTCCGTGTCCTTTGGAGGGACTGCAGACACTTCCAGAACGAATCAATACCTATATCTAATATGCATTGCAAAACATTTTCCTCTCTAATTTGATCTCTTTTTTTTTTTTTTGGTCTTTTCTCAGAAACATTCTCTTCTCTCTTTTCATATCTGTTTTGAAGAGGTAAACTGATCTTTCAGAAACACGAGGATTTGCTAATTTCCAACATATACATTAAAAATTTCCCGTCCAAGGCAAAAAATACCGTGGGAGCAAAAATCAATGCACTTTTGAAAGTTCGTTGAGAAGAGAATATCAGTTTCATGTACTAATAAAAATGAATTCCACAGGGGATGCTGCCCAGATTTGGCTTCACGGGAATTGAAGGTTCTGACTTAAAAATGAGGGTCCCATTAGGTGTCACATGGGGACAGATTTGACAGCAGTGGTCCCAAATGGTAAGGGGGATCTCTTGAAATGCAGCTGAGGAGACAGCCCAGTCAGTAAAGTGTTGCTGCTACACACCGAGAGACTCCCAGAGTTGGTGCGGCAGAGGCGGAGGATCCCTCCATTCACTGTCCAGTCAACAGAGCTGAATCAGCAAGCCGCAAGTTCCAGTGAGAGAGACCGTGACTCTAAAGATAAAAGTGGACAGTTCCAAAGGGATGACATCGGAACTTGACCTCTGGCCTCCACATCCGTGCACAAGCATGGGTAAGCACACATGTATGTGTAACTACACATGTAGTGTACACACACACACACACACACACACACACACACTTTTGTGAACGTCCTGGTGTCCTGCTTTGCTGACGGAACAAGCTTGTGTGATGTCAGCTTTGGTGGCCGGAGACTAAGAAGAATCCCGTTCTCGGTGCTGGGGGCAGCTTTAAACCCCAGTATGGGTTGTTGATTGGCTTAGATTCTTGTGTGTCAGAATTTGTTTCAGAATTTTTAATGACACACACCCTGCCGTGAGATATGTCCTCTCAAAGCTTAAACCATTCTTCTCTCCATGTCGCTCCCCTCTTCCTAGGAATCTGGGTCTCAGATGATTCATTCATAATCTGGTTATTATGGTATTTATTTCAGAGAGAGATGAAGGGCCCTGGTTAATGTTTGTAGAACACGTAGCAAGTCCCCACCGTAAGACTGATCGGGAGTGAATATGACGTCCGTGTATTATGAGTAATCACAACGCAGAGGCAAAGGGGATGACTGAATTCCAAACCTTCCATTACTCTTTCTTCAGGGGCCGGGGAGGGGCATCTTAACAAGTAAGCCTGCTGACATTTTCTTTCCTGAAAGATAATCTTCGCCATTAGAATAGTCATTCGTGGAGGACAGTCTGTCCTCAGGCCGGTGCACTCCCTTTGTGACTAGGTGAGTTGTGCGAGTTACCGGGAGGGACCATTTGCATCACGGGACATGTGTGACTCTGGCAGAAGAGGATCCGTGCAGATCACATGTGTGTAGTTTTTCCCGGAAGAGACCCTCCCCACAACACACAGCCCGACCTCCCTACAAGCCCCGCTTTGAATTCCTATGGGTCCCAAGTACTGAATTTGCCAATGCTGCTCCCTAAAGGTTTGCAAGCCCACTGTAAGCGTGGGGGTCTATTCAGAAAGATAGCCATATCTTTGGTTGCTAGGAGATGGAGGGATCCTCTCAGAGAAAAATCAGTCCTGACAAAAAATTTTTTTCACATAAAGACCTTTTAAATATAAATACCTTTGACAGCGGCTATTATTATTCACTGAGTTCTTTCACATCTGAATACATGGCAGAGAAATGATGAAATTATTCATATACCGTTATACAGTAAAGTGTTAAAATAGAAGTCTTTTTCCTTTCTTTCTCCTCTCTCTCTCTCTCTCTCTCTCTCTCTCTCTCTCTCTCTCTCTCTCTCTCTCTCTCTCTCTCTCCCTCTCTCTCTCTGTCTGTCTCTGTCTCTCCCCTCTCCTCTCTTTCCTCTCCCCTCCCCCGTCTTTCTCTGCTAAAGAAAACGAAGAAAAATGCTTTTGTTTCTGTCAATTGAATTTCCCTGCTCTTCCCTTCAGAGTCCCAGGATGAGGGAAATGTCTGCGAACCTGAGGCCACGCACGGGTTTGGATTGCTGTGTGTTCCCTCAGTCCCGGGTGTCTGCTCTTGACGATCAGAACACTCCAGGAGAGAGCACGGCCACGTTCCCCCCGCTGGGTGGCTGGGAAGAGCGGGTGGGCTCTGTGCCCCTTGAAGGCGGCGGCCATCCATCTGACTGCGTTTCCATCATGCCTGCGATTTTCTCCCTACTGCGTTGACTGGAAGCGCAGCTGCCCCGGATGTGGGTCCTGTGTACTCAGCTTTTGAGAGGGGGGGGAAAACCAATCTCGCCAATTAAATGCGAGGTGAGTCGCACGCTCACTGAGTATAAACTGTGGAGAGCATCAATGAAGCATCAGTGGTCCCCGACTCCGTGGGCCCTCCCTGCCTTCGAGGAGCCGTCCCAGGGGCCACCTCCTTCGCATGAGAGACCGGACCCTGTGGCGCCTGAACTTAGAGACAGGGACCACTGAGGACACACACACCACACTGGCGTGAGAATGCCCACCCCGGAGCCCCGGTACTGTATAAAAATCTCTCCGGAATTTTTGCTCGCAGGGTGCCTCGGAGCCCGACGGAGACGTGCTTCCTTATCCAAATATTGACGCGGAGCCCTCCGTTGACTGAGTGTTTCCCTGGGAGAGCTTCGTGTGGTAATGCCCCTGCATCCCATTTCACACATTTGTTCTGACTCCTGGCACCAGGAAGCCCCTCATTGTTCCCGTCGTTGCTTACTGGGCCAGAGACATTTTTCCCTGTTAGTGACAGACAGAGTGGTTTCCTTTCTAGAGTTCTCATGGGAGTTTCTTGCCATGTGCTCGGCACACACCAAAAAAGGCCTCCTGTTGGCAGGTCTCCGCTTTCTGGTTCTTTCCCTGCTGCCTCTTCAAGACCATCTTAACAATGCCGCCCCTAATTGAGTGCTACGAGGGGGAAGGACCTGGGGCGGGGGCGAAGTCTTGCAACGTTCCGGCCCGTTCTAACTGGCGTCCTTACACCTGCTGCAGAAACGCCTTGAGGATGCACGTGGGGAATCCCGAACCGCTTTTGATGTGCACCAGCCAGGCTGTGGGGCTTTTCTGAGCACTTAGTCTTCCGGGTACTGCATGCACATACCTCAGACGCCCCCTCCCCACCCCAGCAATTCTCTGATTGTACAGCTGACCGTTTTTACAGCACTCCTTCTGCCTGGGTCTGGAAGCATTTGGCTTTGCAGGGCTGGTTATCATGCTTTCTGTGTTGGAACAGACCTATTTCACTGAATCCTACACTCGAGTAGGAGGCAGATAAGAATTGCGACGGGAACGCTGCGCCTCGCCGTGTGCGGTAGATGTTATAAAACTGTGCGAATCCAGACGGGTCCCTGGCCTCTTCTGTGGAACACCTATGGAGTCTCACGCTTTCCAGATGGACCCGGGTATTGCTTGATGCTAATCAACTGCGGAAGGATCAGCTGGAAAGACTGCAGGGCGGCAGAAAGGACAAAGGAAGAGGCTTCAACAACAGCTTTCATTTAGGCCCCCGCTTTTTAATGTGCTCTGGTGTTTTGCCTGCATGTATGTCTATGTGCTACATTTTTCCAGTACCCAGAGGCCAGAAAAACAGGTGTTGAATTCCGTGGACTGGAGTTACAGACATATGTGAGCTACCATGTAGGCCCTAGGAATTGAACTGTGTCCTCTGGAAGAGCAGCCAACGCTCTTGACTGCTGAGCCAGTTTTCTAGGCTGTGTGCGTGTGTGGTGTGGTGGGTGTGGTGTGTGTGTGTGTGTTCATGTATGTTCTGGCACATGTGTGTGTGGGGGGGTGCAAGCTTGTGGTGGTCAGACCATAACTTGAGGTATCACTCTTCAGGCATCATCACTTTTTTTTGAGATGGGGATCCATCACTGACCCGGCGCTCACCAGGTAAAGCAGGCGGGCCAGCTAGCAAGCCAGGGGGCTCCACTTTTTCTGCTTCTCCAGTGCTATGATTACAAGCACATGTCAACATCCTTTTCCTTTTCTCTTTTGGTGTGGGTTCTGTGTGACAAACTCAGGTCCTCAGGCGTGGCAAGGATGTTACTAACTAGGCTTACTCCCCAGTCCCCGTCTTCTCTCCTTGACATTTTCCCTCAAAAAACGCTAGTTACTTTTAAATTCCAGTTTCCTCACAGAAACTCTCTGGGAGTGAAGGTTTAAACTACCACGATTCTGGGCAGGTTGGACTTATTTATCCCGTGGGCTGTGAATGATTAATCCTTGGAGGACCACAGTGGTTAATACGGACATGAGAGTCAGTGAACCCCAGATAAGTAGGCCTGACCTTAGCATCCAGCCCACCTTCCTAGCCCAGGGAATGGGGTGTCTGGGACTTCAGGGATATGTCAGGCTAGGAGCACAGGGACACTGGGGGAGGGCCAAGGGAAGACTTAGTGTTTCCTAGTGACAGCAGTAGCCCTGGAGCCTCCTTCACTGTCCCCTCCCCCATTTCTCCACCCCAGACCCAAACAATGCATCTCTCTCCTGGCAGTGGTATAGCCGCCTCATCCTGCCAGAGTGCAAGTGTCCATGCCACTGTCTTTCCCGTCTGGTGCGTTCCTTTGCAAGACACACTCCAGGTACGATTGGCTTCTGGTTCACTTCCTGTGACTCAGTTACATATGGATGCAAAAATTATAATAATGACGCTTGTCTCCAGATAATGAGGTATGAGCTCGTATTTCTCATAGAGGAGATGTTATACAAATGCACTGTATCATTACTGCTAAAACAAAAAAAAATCCATGACTGGAGAAATTAAATTTCCTGGAATGTTTTCTATCTCACAGGAATGTTAGTAATCCTCTGTATTTACTGCTAAACGAGGTGGACTACAAGAAAGAGGATGTTTAAAAGGCAGGGGGAGTTCAGTGGGAACAATTAACAAATGGGAAGATTGCAAGCCCTGCTGGCTGCGGGGAGGAGACTCGGTAAACATGCAACAGGAAACCATGTTTGATTTCTGCAGGGAAGGTTTAACGAACAACAGATTCAAGCAGGGCCTTCAAAGAAGTTTCTGCACTTGTTTACCCTCTGAAACGCAGCCTAAGAGGACATTATGCCTCGATTTAACGGTGGTGTCACGGGACAGCTTACCCAGTTCTGCGGTGAGCTCTCTGACCTGGGCGTACAGAACACGAAAGGATTTGTTAAAAAGCTGGGAAGGAAAATGCAAGTCTTTAGGGGTGGGACTTAAGACTGACGCATCTTTAATAATTTCTCAAGCTTGGTTCCCTTCATTGTTTCACGAGTTTTCCAAACAGCATCAAATTGAGGCAAATTTCCACTAATTCATTCCATGAACTTTGCCAACGCACTGGGAATGTCAATTTTCTATACTTGTTTCTACCTCCAATTTTACCACAAGGCATCAATCTCTGGCCTGGTGAAGAACTGGCATTTGGGAAATTCGTTGTCTTTCCAGAGGTAGGAGTACACATTCACCAATGTTCCTCCCTGTGTCGTCTGGGCTATCAGCCTAAGAAGATCCCCTACCCAGCCTGGCCCTTCTTCACCAGAATCGAGTGCAACCTGTGATCTTCACCTGGGTGATGGCTATCATTACCCACAGTGCTTCAGCCTATGACTTAGTCTTCTGACTTCTGAAGAGATGGTGGGGAGGGGAACAGAGTGAAGAGAGAGAGGAGTGTGCTCAGACAGCCAGGCCTGCCGGCCTCTGGAAAGCATCCGTGTTTCCAGGCCAGGACACAGCCCTCTCAGAGCCACACTGGCCTCTCTCTGGCCATTTTCAACAGAGGTGCTGCTTGCTGTCTGTGAATGGCTTGCTTGGACCTGGTGCCAATGGTTCTGCTTATGGATCCAGGTCCCTCCTCCAGCAAAGAAGAGGTTCACTCGCTCCCTCGGCGGCGGCTGTTTATTCATTCAATACCCCAAGTCTAGAGGGAAGTTCCAAGGCATGTGCACACAGCTAAGACTTGCCCCCGACTTAGCCAAGAATTACCACTTTGCAGAGTCTGCCACAGACCCCACTTCCCAGTGATAAACTGATAGCGGTTTGAATCCTTCCCACACATGCTCTGTGCTCTCTCTGTATACGTGCGTTTGTGTGCAATGTGTGTGTGCGAAAAGTGCGTGCATGTGACATGCGTATGTGTGAAATGTATGTGAGATGTGTGTGCACAAAATGTGTGTGCTCAAAGTGTGTGTGAAATGTGTATGTGAAATGTGTGTGCAAAATCTGTGTGTGAAATGTGTGTGCTCAGAATCCTGTGTCACAGAACTCACAGAAACAATGTGTGCAGCCTTCCTTTTATACTCCATTACAGCCTAGAAGCAGTGCTGCTGGATCAAAGGTGTACAGGTACTCCCCACCACATACACACTTTATGTGTTATTATTTAGTTTCTCTTTATGGGGGAGCCATTGCTTTCAATACCCCTTAGGTATATCCACATTCCTGCCTTCCTATCTTCTCATTGGCTGGCAGGATAATTGTGAAACCGTTGTCTTAGTTTGTATCATGGAATATTGCTTGAAGATGTGATATATTATTTTATGCTGTGGAATATCTGCTTAATGAGGCAAAGATGTGTTGCATTCTTTTATGTTGCATTTGTTTAACTCTGTGAAGCTGTGTTACTTTGACCGCCTAAAACACCTGATTGGTCTAATAAAGAGTTGAATGGCCAATAGCTAGGCAGGAGAAAAGATAGGTGGGGCTGACAAGCAGAATAGATAGGAGGAGAAATCTAGGAAGAGAGGATTAAAGAGCAAGAGCAGGAGGGGGGGGCAGACACCCAGCCACCCAGCTAGACACGGAATAAGAAGGAAAGAAAAAGATATACAGAACTAGAGGAAGGTAAAAGCCCAGAGGCAAAGGGTAGACGGGGTAATTTAAGAAAAGCTGACTAGAAATAAGCCAAGGTAAGGCCAGGAATTCGTAAGAAAGAATAAGTCTCCGTGTGATTATTTGGGAGCTGGGTGGTAGGCCTCCAGAGAGCAATGAGTAAAAACAGCCAACATCAAGTTTGCATCTCTCCAGGCCCAGTGGATAGTCCTTGATTTATTGCTTCTTCTTTCAAATCGTTTGCCATCTACTCTCCCCCTGCCACAGACGGTATTTAGACTTATGGCATTAATTTGCAAGAATTCTTTACATATTCTACATAATTGTCTTTGCTGTATACATTGAAAATGTCTTCTCCCAGGCTGCTCCTACAATTAAATGTGCAAAAACCAGGGGTTGGGGAGATGGTTTATAGGTAAAGTGTTTGTTGCATATGGGTGGGGACTTGGTTTCAGGTCTCCAAAGTCCACATAAAAAGGCTGGGCACAGCAGTACACTCCAAGAGCCCTGGGAGAACAAAGACAGGAGGGGCCCTAGGGTTTGCCAGTCAACCATTCTATCAGAACTGGTGAGCTCCGGATCCAGTGAGAGACTCTGTCTCAAAAAAAAAAAAAAAAAGATGCAGGTCAATATAGGAAGACATCCAATGTCAACCTCTGACCTCCATGAACACACACATCCACGCAGATACAACACACGCAAGCACCGCACACACACACACATCACACACATACACAGAGAGATGGACAGGCACCAGTGCACGGGGCACTGTCACAACAGCACCCTGGGTAACTTGCTAGCATGGTTTGAAGCAGTTCTAGAGTTTCCCTTCCTCAGGACGGGACTTATGCTTTTCTGAAACATTATATATTGTATATTCTTTTACACATTTCAAAGAGGCTAATAGACACTAATGTTCATGTTTTGGTACCCTAGCGCAGTAACAAATATTGCTAAAATCAATTTATGCAATGAAAAGCAGATCCTGGGTCTGCTGAACCTGAGTCTGGAATCAGAAAGCTGGGGGGGAAGGGGGATGTCCGCCAGCAATGGCCGGACTCATAAACCAGTCCACAAGCGGTTGACTCGCACGTCCTATGCCCACGGTGCCCTGGGAGCATCGTGAGAGATAAATGCATGCCCCTGCACACATGTGTATATTTGTATATGTCCGGGGAGTATCTCTATTTTAATCTAGCCGTCTAATTGATGAATTAAATGCCGAGGAAGCTGTTTTTATGGCACCAGCACTCGGTGTGCATCATGGAAAAGTCATTTACTTACTTCTTAATTCTTCACTCATTTCCACTAAAATAAACACAGAACAGACTCAGAAAGCCGATGCTGAGGACAGGCTCAGTGAATCTGTGCGCCTGTGACTGGAAGCCTAAAATATTATTTTGAATTAACCTATTAACTCATTTGAGATAATTCTGTCCAGATTTTACTCTGTATTTGTCCAACTGATTTATTGTCTGTTTTTCTTTCTCTCAAATGGGACTCATTATGTTTCCCTAAAGCAGTGTTTTCCATGTTTTCTTTTACTACTTTTATTTCTCAGAGTTACTTTATCTCCTAATTATTGAGTTAGGAATCATGTAGACCTAATCATGAAACCCAGATTTACAGTGTGCCCGCTCCAGTGGACAAGTTTGTAGGGATGCATGCCTGGGCATCAGACGGCCTTTTAAAGGGATGTTGGCTACACTTTGAGCAGTATTGCATCCATTTAACTATTTCTGTAAGATTCTGGAGATTTATGACCTGAAATTGGATTTCTCCATACAACTGGAAATGCAGCAACAGTAGGCGTCCACCAAGCAATGTGCCCCATCTCATAGGCAGCCTGCAGCAGCAGCAGAACCTCGTTGTGAAGTAGCAAGAGAGAAAGGGGGCCCGGGCTTGGGCTCCCAACTTGGACAGCCTGGGGTTGGGATTGTAAGATGCCTCAGTATCCCCGCTACGATCCTGGCACAGCCATTTAGTCAATCTCACATGAAAGCTAGACCATCTAGAGTTACGAGGTTGCAATGATTAACCTCACTGGCTAAAGCAATGAATGCCCAGTGGGTTCCCAGTGTGGTTGGTCTTTGGTCCTCCTTCCCTGTAACGGTTCCTACCTGACTTCTAAGCACAAACTGCAAAGTGTCCTAAGGAGGGGAGCTTATTACGATCCAGTTGTCAATGAGGAGGGAGAAAGAGAAAGAGAGAGAACACACAGAGAGAGAAACAGGAAGGAACAGGAGAGAGAGAGAGAGAGAGAGAGAGAGAGAGAGAGAGAGAGAGAGAGATGAAAGAGAGGAGATCTGGGGGGAAGAAGAGAAGATGAAAAAAAGGAGGCTGAGGGAGGGAAAGAGAGAGAGGAGGGGGACGGGAGGAGGGAGCCTGCCAACCTGAGCTCCTGGAGGATTAACTGCTTGTCTTGAACAGGTGGCCCCAGTAACTAATTGCTGCTAGCTTCACAGAGTGACTGAAGAGCTCCTCAACGGGAAAACTAGTTCCCTCTGCAGCCTGCTTGAAGTCGTCCTCACTGATGTCAGCTCCAATCTCTGGTTCCCTTACAGACTCTTTTAAAGGCTCTTTTTCAAAGGGTTAATTTGAGGAGAGTAACATCTGCAAGGCTCCTTCCCCGGGCATGCCAAGCTGAGCTGTGATGAATGGCTTCTCCTACAAAGGGGCAAAGTTGCTTGGCTCTACAGAGGATCTTCGGTACTGGGGAGACTCCACCGTGCCCACAGCAGACAGTGTGGGAGTCCAGGAATCAGTCTTCCCAAACGGCTGGTGTCCTATGTTCAATGTCTTCTCATACTCCCCTCAAACGCCTCCACCCACGGAGGCCTCACCTGAAACGCTGCAGCTCATGTATCTCGTGCATACATCATATCATCTGGGTGTGTGACTTCTGGGTGGGACACTGTCCTCTCTGATGATGACGACTTTGCATCTCTCATTGTTATTCCATTGGAGAAGGAAAGAGAGAATTTTCTAGACTAGAAGATGAACTGAGTTCTTTTCCGTATTAAATTATTTATATGATACAACACAAAGTCAGAACCCTTGAGGATTCCAGAAATAAGAACTATCATATTTCAGCACAATACTTAACTGTATTTGCCATTTTTACCCTAAATTTAAGTCATTTCTTTCATGGATGATCAATTATATAGAACAGAACCTTTTAAGTCTTATAGCTCCTGATCTTGCTAAAAGCACACTAAAATATTAGGTTGCCTTCCTTTTAATTTTAGATTTATTTATTTTATGTATATGAGTGTTTTGCTCACATGTATGTCTGAAGGTGGGGTCTAAATGGGTTCATAGACCCAAGATAAATGGTAAATAGGTATTTATTAGGGAAACACTTACATAGAGTAAATAACCTCCACGGCCTTCCTGCTCCAGAAGATGCAGTCTCTGCCCTTCCCATGCTCCCTACGACCCAAGAGAGCATGAGCCAGCCCCTCCTCTACCCTATAATGGGTCACGTCTGCACCTGAAATCACGCCCAAAGGGTGTGACCACCACTCCACGTTCACTGGCAAGGCAAGATGCCACTACCTATGTCTGTGTAACATGTGTGTCCTGGAACTGGAGTCAAGGGTGTCTTGCGGTGCTGGGAGTCAAACTCAGAGCCTCTGCAAGAGCAAGCGTTCTTAACCACTGAGCCACCCCTCCAGCCTCCTTTTAGCTTTTAATTAATCTACCAACGGACTGATGCAACACTGAATACTTATTCTCTCTCCAAACATATTACTAACATGAACTTTATATCCCAACAGCATTCTGATGAAACTCTGATATCCCTACATTTTATAGGGACAAGTAAAAGACATTTTCCTAGTACAATAAATATGAACAAATTTTAAGGAGACTTAAAAAATCTACATTCAGGTTCAGTGGATAAAGGTGCTTGCCACTAAGCCTGACAATCTAAAGCTCGGGCCTCTGAGACCCCATGTAGTAGAAAAGGTGAGCTGATCCCTGACCTCCATTTATGCCATGACAGGTGCAGCCCGCACATATGAACACATGCGAAATAAATAAACACAGATGTAATTTTTTAAATGTCTTTTCAGACTCTAAGTCCATTGTGTTTATGATGGCTCCTAAAATCTGCAAGACATTGCACTCACTCTACATCTCTAGAGGTAGATAACATTCAGTATCTTCTAGTGGCTTTGGGTTTTTGTTGTTGTTGTTTTTATTCTGTGGGTAATAGTTCTGAGAAACAGAATAGCCACAGATAACTACAGCTTCTGGCATCCGGGGACTCTATAGAATATCCACAAAGGAAACCAGAGCTTTGAAAGAATGCTGGATGCTGGAATGATGTCAACTGCAGATCTCCATTGTGTTTAGTATGTGAGCTCACAGATTATCCAGTTAGCATTAAGCAAATACACTTGGCTTTACATCACCTTATCTGGAGTTGTTGTTTCCTCTAAAATATATATTTTTTAAATGACAGTATGAACATCCAGAGTTTTAGACATAGTTGCAAGAACCATTCTCTTAGTTAAACCACTTTGGCTCTCCAGATTAATACACAACTGAGGTCTGTGCTACAACCTTATTTCCAGGGCCTGGCAAACACCACTGACAACACGAGTTCTATTTTAGGAAGTCCATTACAAGTGAAGCATGAGAGAAGAGCCCAAAAATGAGCCATACGGGAGGCCCATGTGTTCCAGAGAAATCCATCATCTACCTCTTGAGGCCATCAGTCATGGCATCAAAAGATGAAAGCCTCATTTGCCAATCAAATCCCCTCCGCAGGAAAACATCTTAGCTGCCAGGGGGGAGCCAGTGTGTGAACGTTCAGATGTGCGCCAGATCATGCTCCTGAGAAGTGTGAGCTACTTGTTCTTCAGAGAAACCCTAAAGGGGTAATGACCGAAATAATAGCAGCTTGAATTCTTCTAGAAGATCAGCACACAAGAGCCTCCCCCCCCTCAAGGGTTATTTTCTTACACTCAGCTGATGACTTGCTGCTGGCCCAACACTTTTTTCCTGACGTCTAAGTGGCCTTAATTGTCAAATTGATTTCATTTGCCCTTCGTGTGGCATTGGGATTGAATAGCCGCCTAGGATTTAGCCACCTCTGACCGAAGAACAGTGACCCTGTCAGGGGAGGACCCTTAATCACATCTGTAAGGAAGTGGTGAGGAACAAGAGAACAAAACGGAGAACACTCAAGGAGGGCGCTGGTCATCCTCAAACATTTGAGAAACTGTCAAGTGAGACGGACATTTATACGTGTTTTGTTAACGTTTTGTTAAACCAATAGGTGACGGCATTCGAAAGGAAAACTGAATAGTCACGGTAGGCCAGAAACATGCCTGACTATCTGGTGAAGAATTACAGTGGAGGCTGGGTGTTTGTAGAATAGTAACCCAAGAGCATCCCAGCCTGGGAGATGCTGAATACTGTGGGTAACTGTGGAGCCCCTGCATTCCAGGAACCTTGGGGATCATTTACTGTTTGTTTCTTTGGGAAAAGTTTTCACTGTGTCACCTAGGATGGCCTTATATTCATGGCAACAGTCCTGCCTTAGCTCCCAAGTGCTGGGATGACAGACTTGAACCACCATGCCTGGCTCAACTTCCAGAGTCTTTGATTCAGGAGTCTTTGACACCTGATACTATCTCCCAGCACACCCTTATCTGAGAGTCTAGCTGGTATAGTGCCGTTTCGTCTGTTAGCTATCATGCTGCAGGCCTTTGGGCCCTGTGAGCCATGTATCCATAAGCAAACTGCTTATCCTTCAGGTCTACACTTTCCTACCTACCTCCAGTGGTGGTTGTAAAGAATAGATTAGATAATTTACATAAGAATTAAGCACAACTCCCTGATACACAGAACACGTAGTAATTACCAAATAATAGTCACTGTTATTAGCCATTATTACTGAGTGCCGGCTCCAAAATCACGGTCTCCACAAGCACCCCAACCCCCTGCCAAATCAGACCCAGGTGTGGTCGGCTCCACACAGCAGTTTCTCTTACTCTCTGCTGCGCAGTTACTTCCAGCTGTTCCAAACTTGCTTAGGGACATTTAGATCAAATGGTAGAGCCGCAATAGAGTTGTGAAAATTGGAATCCTAGGATGGCAGAGGTGTATGGAAGTTAGAGTCACCAGGTTTGACTGGAGATCTCAAATGTCCTCTCACTTGGGAACACGAAGGAGCCAGATCTTCGGGTTGTGCGGTCCTCAGCTGTACGGATGTTTATAGGGAGAGTCAGAAAGTGACACAAACGCTGGGTCGTTCCTATCCCTTATAAAAGGAACAACAAATCGAACTGAGGACACTTGACTGAACTATTGACCCAGACGCTTCAAACTGTCAAGGGCTGGACAGACGAGGGAACTGAGTCATGGCAATATTATAATTTAGAACGGAGCAGGAGAACGAACTTGTCGAGTTGTGGGACTGAAAACAAGAGTTGGTCGAAAACCCGGTGAGTTCCAACAGGCTCTCTCTGGCTCAGCTGATGGTACTGTGTGATTGTGAGTTTCCTCTGCTTGGCCCCCGCCCGAGGTTATACAAGAAGCCAATGGAGAGGAAGTTGGTGGGAAAGTTAGGGAACTCACATGAGTGATCTTTGGGAAGTTTTTGTTCTTTAGATTAAAAAAATTAAAATGTAAACACAAAAAGTTTCAGTTCAATCGGGCTCTTTTCTAAGAATGTGGTACTCTACCACTGAGACACTTCCCTGGCCCTCTTTTTCCTTTAGATCTTGAAACAAGGTCTCACTGGTGTGTGCAGGCTGGCCTTGAACTCACCCTGTAGCCCAGGCTGGCCCTGAGCTTGCCATCACACCACCTCAACCTTCTAAGTTACTGGAATTACAAAGCCTGTCCATACATACAGGGCAGCCAATGGGAATGCTTAAAAAGTAATATTATCCCAAGTACTAACTACCGTGCACAGCTGCACCATGCAGATACATGCACACCACTGAAACGGAGAGACAGAGATATTTTTAAATTATAGAATCAAGGTCTATGGACTGAATAATATTTCCTCAAAGTTCAAATGCTGTAGCCCTAAGTCCACGGTGCCTGTGTTTGAAGGCAGTGTTTGCAGGACATCAGGTCAAAGGAGAGCATAGGCTAGAGCAACGCTGACACCCAGTAGGACGCTGACACCCAGTAGGATTGACATGCTCACAAGACACAACTGATCCATCACTCCCGCTCCTGCCTTCCCCCATCTCTCTCCGCAGTCCATGCGGGAAAGTGATGGGCAGCCGGCCATCTGTAAGCCACAAAGGAGGAGAGGCCTCCCCAGAGCTGGCTGGTGTTACCCGCTTGTCCTTCTACAGTAAAGGGGGCATACTATGACGACGCCACCTTTGGTCTGCAGGGTTCTGTAAGGACAAACTGCTGTGAGCTGACGTGCCCATCTTCTAGTTTTCCAATGCCAGCGGATGTACAGTCTTCCAGCTTCCTGCTGCCGTTGTGTCTGGGTTGCAGACGTGCAGCATGGTCCACGTTTTCTCTGCTTCACTTCTGCAGCCAGTGCGGCTCAGGTTGCACTGGGCTGAATTAAGGGATCCATAGAGTTATTTCTCCCAGAGGGACTAGTGAGCATCCCATCTCTCGCTTCTCCTGTCCCTCCATCTTTGATGTGGGTGGGCCATCCCTCAAGATGATCTGTGATCATCTCTTTTGCCTCCACAGGTTTGAAGGTCCTGCCCTCATCAGGACTGGGGGCGGGGGGCTCAGTGTGCATCCTGGTGATACAACATGAGCTCTTGCTACAAGGAACGCACTGTTAACCCCATGCGCAAAGCCCCAGCTATCGTGTGCTAAAATACAAGTTCCAAAGTTCCAGGGACAGAGCCTGCCGATCTTGGCGGGGGGTGCTACCTTCACAGCACACGCTGACACAAAAATGCTCATAGGGACTCAGACTCCCAAGACCATTACACAGACATGCAGCCATCGCAGCCAAATCAAGGTGAAGGGAAAGTGACGCATGACTTGAGCAAAGCCATGCTGCTGCTGTGCGTCCAAACATGTTCCAAACCGGCCAAGGAGACAGAGGAAAGACGGTGGAGGACACAGCACTGGTTACTTGAAAGCCACGGTATAGACTGAACTTCTGGTGAGATGAGGCGTGGAGGGAGCAGGAGGGAGCAGTCCCTGTCCCTTCCCTTCCCAGACTTCTCATGTGAGGACACAACGCCCCCAACTGTAGGTGCAGGGTGGAGACAGTGGCCACGATGACAATGCAGGGTCACACAAGTAATGAAAGACCAGCTTGCGAATCAGTTTGAACCCGTCTCCTCATCCAAGACTGGACCCTGCACCAGAAGAAGAAGGAACCCTAGACAGTGTAGACACTCACATGCCAGTAATGTTCCAGGAATCAGATAATTAGAAAAACAGAATGAAGGGAAAATTGCATTCCCAAGATCAGCACCAATCATGAAATAACTGAGTGGCTACTAATGAGCTGGAAAGAAAAACCATGAAGGCTGGAAAATTCTGTCAAAGGAGGGATGCGTGCCGACTTAGGGTGGGATGTTGCCTTTTGTAGATATGGAGACCAAGGAAGAGAGTGCTATACGCTATAGAAACTGTTCACAGCCGAGCTGGAGAAATGGCTTAGGGGTTAAGCGCACACATCGCTCTTGCAGAGGATCTGAGTTTGGTTCCCAGCACTCACGTCAAGCAGTTCACAACCATCTATAACTCAAGTTCTTGGAGATCTGATACCGCTGGCTTCCTTGAGCAACTGTACTCTCCCACACACTCATTTAAAAAAATAAATCCTCTTAAAAGCATACAAGGTGATAGTGAGGGGAGCCACAGAAGCTCACAGACGGATCGGAACACATGTCTCCATGCATGACTGGACAATTGCCCTGTACAGTGTTTTCCTTGATCACCACCAGACCTTCTCAGGTCTCTGTTATGATGTTCCCATGAAGTGCCCGCCACAGGCTTGTGTTCTGGACACTCGGACCCCAGCTTGCTTTATGATCCAAGGTTGGGGGTACTTCCGGAAGCAGGACTTGTTTAGCTAGCAAAAGCGGGTCACTAGAGACAGGCCTTGGAGGG